TTTTTTTTTTTTTTTGAGACAGAGTCTCACTCTGTTACCCTGGGTAGAGTGCTATGGTGTCATAGCTCATAGCAACCTCCAATTCTTGGGCTCGAGGGATCCTCCCACCTCAGCCTCCTGAGTAGCTGGGACTACAAGCACCCACCATGATCTCTGGCTTGTTTTTTTCTATTTTTAGTAGAGATGGAGTCTCACTCTCGCTCAGGCTGGTCTTGAACTGAGCTCAAGCAATCCAGCCACCTCAGCCTCCCAGAGTGCCAGGATTACAGGCATGAGCCACCATGCCTGGCTTGTAGAGACAGAGTCTACTGTGTTGCTCAGACTGGTCTCAAACTCCTGGCCTCAGTGATCTTCCTGCCTCAGCCTCCCAAAGTGCTAGGATTACAGATGGGGGCCACCCTGCCTGGCCCCTGACTTATAAGAGAGAACTCTGCTTCCCACTGTGGTTGCCATGTCAAGATTATATTTGGGAGAGTAGTATAGAGGACAATAGAGCAGTTAAGACATTGCTGGGGTGATATTGGGGATGGAGGGGGAGAACTGGCAGTACTTATGGAGGTACTAATTGTGAAAAGTGAGAAAAAGAGGGAATGTAGCATGACTCCTAGGCTAGAGCAGCTAGAGGGATACTGGCACCCTGTACTGACTTGGGGGCAGTTTGGGGCATATGTTCCGTTTTGTTAGATATCCAAGTAAAGCTGGCAAGAAAGGAAGACCTGGGAGCCATCTGCATATAGATGGTCGGACTGAGGGAAGCATCTGTGTTGCAGTCACAGGGGGCTTTTGGACTCCAGTCATGAGAAATGACACTGGGCTGGTGTGGTCAGCTGTTGAACCTAAATGAGGAGGCTGTCACCTGGGGACATAGGGGAGTATGGATGGGCTCACCTGGCCTGTATGTCCATGCCCAGCTCAGGGTTGGATGTCCAGTGGGTCCAGGGGTGGGACAGATGGAGGACTGTCAGGAGAGGCATTTCTTGGGAGAGTCACCTTACTTCAAAGGTAGGGTACCTCATAGGCTCAAAATCCCCGGGTGCTGCCTGGCTCCCCGAGATTGGAAGGAAGGCGTGGGAGAAGGGCTGTGCGGAGCTCCGGCCCCCTGATGTTCACAGCTCAGTGCTTCACAGTCTCCTACCACAAAACCCACTTCCTGTGATTTTTTTGTCTCTGAGTTATCTCCACTACCATGTACTTCCTGTGAGCAATGTTAAGCGAGTTCTCCGGAGATTCGTCAGGCATGCTAAGAAGGTCGGGGTTCCTCCCTCCTTCCTGTCAGAGCGGCACTGGGGCCATCACTGGGTTCTGAGTGTAAGAGCTTCCTGATGGCAGGACCCAGACCAGTCCCCTCCCCGCCCAGGACAGCGTCTGGCACCCAGGCAATGCATTAGCTGGTGTTTGCTGACTGCACGCTAGGCAGAAGCTGCCACATGAGGCTAATTTTGATTCATGAAGTCCTGGCACCCAGAGATGAGAGGCTTCATTCCTGGAGTAAGATATAGCCCCCTCCTCAGATGACTGGCAGAAGAATCTATTTACAAGTTGACTCCATGCCAGGAGCACCCATCTGTCCAGTAGGCTTGAAGAAGAGTGAAAGAAAAGAGTTGAAGTTCCTATTTATACAGAATTTCCTTCTACTCCGACTCCACCTGCCCAAGCAGTGACCAAAGAACAGCTTGAACAAGTCCCTCCACTTTTTTTTTTTTTTTT